TATAGAACCTCTTCTGTATAAAACCAAAGAAGAAATATGATTTCTTTATTATCGTATCCGTTAAAGAAATATTCTTGAATCTTTTCATCCACAAACGCCATGTTGTGCAATGACTGATGGGAATGCCATCCTATCTACATAGTCGATAGAGCGATGGTGAGATGACACGATGACGATAGCGCGATAAAGCATTAACGATGACACGATATAGCATCGGATCATCACTATCGCATCATCGCTATCGCACCAACGCATCATCGCTATTGTGCCATAGCGTCATCGTACCATCGCACCATCGTCGTCGCGCTATCGCTTCATCGTTATCGCAGCATCGCTTCATCGTAATCGCATTTTCGAGTTATCGCACCATCGACTCAAATCTCGATGATGCGATATTGAACTGCGTGGCCCTATCCGGATTCCATAGTGCATAGCATAAAAGTGACATTTCAATAAGTAGACTTGTGTATGCATTTATTATGAAGACAGTCTTATTTTAAAGAATATAAGATTATAACATGTATAATCTCAAACTAATCTTTAAACTACTGTTTACACATCAGTCTGAGAGAATGACATGCATAGCTCATGAATGTTCTATTTAAATTAACATGATATACAAATGAAAATTTTTCTGCATGTATTTTACCTTTAAAAGAACTGTTATTGCTTTACAAAGACCTTTTTTCATGTATATGAAATCAATATTGCATATTATGTGAAAAACAGAGATGAGTTGACATATAACTCATTCTTCAATACTGGTGAATTTTTAAAATATATTTCTTTTCTCCTTTATTTTCCAATAAATAAAGTGGAAGCAGATAGATTGATATTGATATGATTGGATACTTTTGTAAAGATATAGTATAAATAGTTTCAAGGATATGAGTTGAGAAATAAAAAAATATTGATCATTGTTGTATTGCATATACGGGATTTCAGTTGCAGAAAATGTGACATAATTTTCGAATAGGCGTAAAGATGTTGTTTTATTTAAAAATAAAATCATTTGGCATGATATATGTGTACATTATCTTAGCATATAAATGAAATAATATATTTATTTTGTCAAACATGCTAAAATTATCCTAATTATTTTTTTCTGAACTTAAAAATCTGTGGTTTATGTTCGTAACACATGGTGTCCATATGCATTGAACTTTTTAACACCTCTCTACAAACATTAAATAATTTGTCAAGTTCAATATCTGTGTTTAATTAATGAGTATGTGTGATTTATTATTTTTAACAACATGCTTCATGCACATAACTCATCTCTTTTTGTAATTTTAAAATGATCTCTGATTGTAAAATGTTTGGTGTCTTGACCATTACAACCATAATAGCTTTCAGTATGATTGCTAAAATAACAGCCAATGAATCATAAGTTTGTATCAGGAAGTTCGTAGCAGTGGTATGATTATAAATTGAAAACGAAAGTAGAAAGGTTGCGCAGCTGTCTGCAAAAAAACATGGCGATGCTTATTGTGTCCACGTGGAAGACAGAAGTTACGTACATAATAGATTCGGTAAGTATTTTCATATTGTATCAATTTTAATGAATTTTTAACACATAAATACAGTCATTGTATCTCTATACCATGTAGCCATTAATCAGAAACTGAAATATGTCACTTATGACCATACAAAATGCATAAATCTGTCCGAGTCGAGAACTTTCGGTTTAACATTTGACTTTTGATTCGCGTCTTTTGTTACGAACATGTGTTTTTGCATTATTTGTATAATCTATTAATGATAAAGTTATATTGTACTATATTTTATTCTATATTTGTTTGTTTTGTTCTGCTCTAATCAAAGGATGAATACTTTTTGAATATTTGTTTTAATATTGCCATATCATTTACACAATTACGTTCATAACAGAGACACGAAAACTTGAAGTAGTGACATAATTTGTACTTTAATTGCCTTCTTTCTGGTTTTATCAAGGATATATAATAAATATAATTAAACAGCATATGTGTTGATTACATCATGTTGTATTTTGTTTTTTATATATTTTTAGCTCACCTCGACGAAGTCGAGATGAGCTTATGCTATACCCCCGGCGTTGGCGTCGGCGTCGGCGTTAGCGTCGGCGTCCCAGGTTAAAGTTTTAGGAGCAAGTCCATTCCCAAGTAACTATAAGCCCTACCTGAACCAAACTTGCATGGATGATGCATCTAGGGATGTACACTACAAGACTTGCTTCAGATGCTGGATCTGACCTACATTTTCCAGATGAGTGACCAGGTTAAAGTTTTTGGAGCAGGTTAAAGGTTTAGGAGCAGGTCCATTCCCAAGGAATTATAAGTCCTACCCAGACCAAACTTGCATGGATGATGCATCTAGGGATGTACACTACAAGACTTGCTTCGGATGCTGGATCTGACCTACATTTTCCAGATGAGTGACCAGGTTAAAGTTTTTGGAGCAGGTTAAAGTTTTAGGAGCAGGTCCATTCTCAAGGAATTATAAGCCCTACCCAGACCAAACTTGCATGGATGATGCATCTAGGGATGTACACTACCAGACTTGCTTCGGATGCTGGATCTGACCTACATTTTCCAGATGAGTGACCAGGTTAAAGTTTTTGGAGCAGGTCCATTCCCAAGGAACTATAAGCCCTACTCGAACCAAACTTGCATGGATGATGCATCTAGGGATGTACACTACCAAACTTGCTTCGGATGCTGGCTCTGACCTACATTTTCCAGATGAGTGACCAGGTTAAAGTTTTTGGAGCAGGTCCATTCCCAAGGAACTATAAGCCCTACTCGAACCAAACTTGCATGGATGATGCATCTAGGGATGTACACTACCAAACTTGCTTCGGATGCTGGATCTGACCTACATTTTCATTCCCAAGTAACTATAAGCCCTATTTGGACCAAACTTGCATGGATGATGCATCTAGGGATGGACATTACCAGACTAGCTTCGGATGCTGGATCTGACCTATATTTACATTCCCAAGTATCTATAAGCCCTAGCTAAACTAAACTTGCATGGGTGATGTATCTAGGGATGGACACTACCAGACTTGCTTCGGATGCTGGATCTGACCTACATTTTCATTCCCAAGTAACTATAAGCCCTAGCTTAACCAAACTTGAATGGATGATGCATCTAAGGATGGACACTATCAGACTTGCTTCGGATGCTGGATCTGACCTACATTTTCCAGATGAGTGACCAGGTTAAAGTTTTTGGAGCAGGTCCATTCCCAAGGAACTATAAGCCCTACTCGAACCAAACTTGCATGGATGATGCATCTAGGGATGTACACTACCAAACTTGCTTCGGATGCTGGATCTGACCTACATTTTCCAGATGAGTGACCAGGTTAAAGTTTTTGGAGCAGGTCCATTCCACATGAACTATAAACCCTATTTGGACCAAACTTGCATGGATGATGCATCTAGGGATGGACCCTACCAGACTTGCTTCGGATGCTGGATCTGACCTACATTTTCATTCCCAAGTAACTATAAGCCCTATTTGGACCAAACTTGCATGGATGATGCATCTAGGGATGGACATTACCAGACTAGCTTCGGATGCTGGATCTGACCTATATTTACATTCCCAAGTATCTATAAGCCCTAGCTAAACTAAACTTGCATGGGTGATGTATCTAGGGATGGACACTACCAGACTTGCTTCGGATGCTGGATCTGACCTACATTTTCATTCCCAAGTAACTATAAGCCCTAGCTTAACCAAACTTGAATGGATGATGCATCTAAGGATGGGCACTATCAGACTTGCTTCGGATGCTGGATCTGACCTATATTTTCCATATAAGAGACTTGGTTAAAGTTTTGGGAACAGATCAATCCGAATGAACTTGAAAACCTTGATATATGCAGTATTAACAGTTATGAATATTTGTTTACACTATACATATACATATTTTTCACGCTACAGGCTTAGAAATGTGTATATGCCATGTAAGGGGTTAAACACAACTTGCAAGAATATTGTTGTTGGGATGAATACTAAATATTAAGAAAATATGATGTGAGATTTGCATTACTTAAACTGATGACATTCGTCGAGGTGAGCTTCGTAATCTTTGATTACCTATGTTTTTCTTTCAGATTTACAAGAACTGACTGAATTATGTTCGTAACAATGACACAAAGATCCAAAACTCAAAATAGAAGACCTAGGATATTTAGCAATCCATCTGACAATTTACTTGTCTGCATTAATTCTCTTTGAAAGCTAGTCTATTATTAAGCTTTGAAATGAAATATTAAAAGTATTAAAGACAAGTGTTCGATTGTCTTGTTATTTTTTTGTTCGTTTTTAAAGCCTGATTCGGAGTTAGATGTCCATGTTACTTACATAATTTCTCCTGTTTTGAAACTAGAAATAAAAATTGTGACTTTTTAAATAAATTCCATTTAATATAAAATTAAACATGATTTCATCATACCTTTTTGATTACATTATTTTCATATTTTAACAACTTGTTAAATTCTAGTAACATGTTACTTGTTTAGTGCTTATGTAAGTAACGGTGTCCATTGGTATTCTTGGATATATTTTCTAATTATAATGGAATAAGGCAGAAATAAGTCATGCAATAAAACATGCAAACTAGTGTTTATATACTTCAAAAAGGATTCACCAGAAAAGAATAGCTTATTGATTTAAAAAACAGTCACTGTGGACACCAAGTTACGTACATAAAATTTCAGACATGCTTGTACATTTGGACACCTATCTCCTCTTTAAGACTTCAGATTATCTTCCCATCAATTTTTTTCAGAAGCAGGAAGGGTACTGACTCAATTAATATACATAAATTATGAAATTGATTATTTTTAAAAAATAACCCTTTGGTCACAAATCTGAACTCAGTACTGAAGAATGAGTTATATATATCAAAACACAATGTTTTCTGGTTGATTTTCCAAGAAAAACAATCTCAATACCTCTTCATGTGTCATTTTTAAGTAATCATGTCTTGATTTTTTATTCAGAAGCATAAGAATAGAGTATCATTTCAAAAATCCAAATCAGCTATTCCACTCAAGGTAAGGGAGACAACTTGTCCAGAATGTTGTGTGCTTGCATGGGAAAGGGCAAGAGTTATTCCTCTTTAATTGCCATCAGATGTGTTTTCTCCTTGCTTTTAATGTCGCTGTCTTTCAATGGCTAATCTTAGCCAGAGACTCATTGAAAATGGGTTTATCTGATCAAAGTTTGTCTCTTGTCGGTCTGCAAGTACCCGGTACATGTTGTCTACTTTTCGACAACTTGCACAAGTAATGAGGCTTTGGTGTTATTTTTAAGTCCTGACATCTGAGGAATTAAGATGGAAATGTTAGACACCCAGCAAGAAAAGTTGGATCAAACTGGAATCTATATATGTCCATGTATCTGTATTTTCTCCCCTATAAAAGATACGATAGAAATACTTCTTTAACACCATTTTAACAAGAGCACTGGAATTTCTGATTAATCTTTTAAAATTTAATAAGTCACGAGGTGCTTAAGGTTTTACTGCACTTGACTGAGTTCTGCGAAGGAATAAGAGAGAATTAATTTCTTTTCTGGATGTAACTCATAACTCAGAAACTTAGAAAGTCATAATTAACTAAAGTTTAGGGCACAGACAGGACACAGTCTTACAAGATTATTATTCTAGTCTGTAGGAGAAATATATTAGATACATAGTTGAAATAAAAATCATGTTTTACGGTATGTCCTGACCTTAACTCTGGATACTTTTGAAAAGATCAAGGTCACAGATTTTTAAATTGTAAAAATCTTTGAAGTGGAGAAACGTAGAAAGATTACACTTCATTATAGGCATTAGCACCCTCTACACAATTGACATAAAGATTTCTTGAAACACTGAGATGTATTTCTATTTGCAGCTGATGTTGAAGTTTGGATATAGTCTATAATTTTGTCAAATTAGAAATCCAACTTGACTGAGATTAGGTTTATATGTCAGAGAGAGCAGGGAGGAGAGGGAGTAGTGAGTGAGCTAAGTGACTAAGGTGAGCATTGTCACTTGTGGCCTATGGACCTCTTGTTAAAAGTTTTCACCACACACTTTTTAAAACCATATTCTTTTCTACCTTGAACTACCAGGAGAACTGCTTCCAAATAACCAAGTGTTTGCCCAGTTGAAACCCAATAAATTGGTACACATTTAAGCTTCCCCGAAGATAATATATGAAGTATATTTTTTTTTAAAAATCACTTGTACACCACAATCCTGATGCTTACTAATAGTCCTGAAATGCTGTGTTTGATGCTTATAAATAAAAAACTGAAATGGAAGTTATAAATTATCATATTTTAACTTTACTATAACTACATATATGTGTATTCTATATAATGCGAAATCATATAGGGTGAATTCACCATGCATCGGACACATACCTTGCATCGGACAACTTTAGACAATAAACTCTCTTTCAACTTAAGAGTTCCGTGTATTTATTTGTTTCTGTCTTGAAGCTGAAGACTTAAATTTTTTAATGACACCGATTGTTATTATCATGTTGTGATAAAAATACCCCGAGAATGGCCTTGAAGTTACGTCATATTTTACATCATCAAAGGGGAACAACCAGGAATTTAAGATTTTGCGATTTTTAGAGTTATCGTTCTTAAAATTCGACTTCAACGGAACGAGGCAGACTTTGGTGAATAAAGTCAAAGATTGATAATTTTACATAAATTTTAAAGAAATTTCACTTCAATGTTCGTATAATTCTTTTAAAAGCTGGTTTTCACTAGTATGTTCATTTCTCCATACATCGGACACAAATTAACCATGCATCGGACACTTTCCGATGCAAAGGTAAGCACTACCATTTTCATACAGAACCCAGCTGATAGCTGTTTTTTGCGGAAAAGGAAAATAAAAACTCTATATTTTCAGTCAAAATACAGGTTATCGATGTATGACGTCTGGAATTTGACTCAATTTATTTCTACAAACCAGAGTATGATAAACCATGAAAAAAGGCGCGAATTACCGCATTATAAGCATTTTAAAGCATTTTTAAGGCAGAGTGAGGTCTCTTAAATCGTTCTACATTTGTGCAACGATTTCGTCAATTAGATTTAAATTGAGGGTTAATTCTTAGATAAAAGATAAAAATATATCCATATCAAGGATTTTAAAGCACTTTAATAAAGGTATGATATTTATCCAGTCAAAATACCGTCTGTCCGATGCATGGTAAACAATGTCCGATCCATGGTGAATTTTGAGTTATTCCTAAAAACTCGATTTTTGAGGATATTTTCTAAATAAAGGGCATATAATTGTGTCCCAAATTGATATTTTAATCACAAACTAAATGTTAAACTCCATTTTGATAATTTTCCGTCGGTAGCGATATCGCTAGAACTTGTTGAAGTACAAGGGTATCCGATGCATGGTGAATTCACCCTACTGATTGGAAGAAAAACTTATAATCACTCAATTTTACTCAGTACAATTACATTGATTGTTAATACATGAACTGATACATCTGTATACTGTAAACCAGTTATTATTTGTTTTATCTTTTATTAGCGATTCATCAGTTTGAAATCAATCCACAACAACTACTTTCCGCGACCAAGAAAGCATTCTCTACTAATATAAAGCAAAATAAATGGTTCACGGCAATAAATATTCGCGAATTGAAGGAATGAAGTCATGAAACTCACTCAAGAATATTTCTCGCACACGATTTAAAGTTGGTTAATAATAATGGTCATTTATAGACAGATGTAATATGATTCTTTTTGAAATGAAATTATTACGAATTTTCTACAGGAAGGCATGATATTGAAAGATATTCCAGTTTTTACACATGTTTTTCATACACTACATATTATTTTCAATATCAGTTTTAATTTTTGAAATTCATGTTTTATTATGAACCGTATTAAATCTTGATATGAAGCATTATTAGAGGGAGTATAGATAGAGATTCTTTTAAGTGACCTTAGGCTAATGAATACATCTCAAAAAAAAAGAAGAAATAACGGATTAATTTCAACAGTACATGTACTAAGATACTGGGTGACTAAACCGGGCTGGCCTCTGGTGTATGTTTAATCATGTTTGTTTACAAGAGAGATTTTTTGTTGACTTTTCATCTATACCTCAACAACACCTCAGGCCTTGAACATACAAACTCTGAACAACTTCACTCTTAAGCTTTTTTATGGCTCTTTAAGCTGACCAGTAAACTAAATCATTGATTTTTATCACCTTGGTTTAAGTAAGTGGCCCAAAAAGTGGACCATTTGAAGATGTGTGTTTATTTGCTTAGTTATCTTTTCTTGAATGATCAATTTGTCAGAAATTTCAGGTTGTCCACAGAAATGGCTGATAAGACACCCCCAAGTAATCACATTATTAGGCAATAACTTTCACCTGTCATTGGCCACAGTGATTTAGTGGGTCAACACTTCGTTAGAAGTCCCTGAATGCAGACTTTTGTGTGCCAGCAACTGTTATACAAAGGGGGATAACTTCTACAACAGTTATCTAACATAGCTTCCCTATCAGTTAGTTTCTTGTGAAGTAACTGTAAAATTTGCCTGAAAAGTAGATAAAGATATTAAATTAAATGCCTTGAAAGATGTTTGTTTACATGATATGGTTGAATTAGACTGAAAAAAGTCCAGGAAGTTATCAAAAAGATATTTTTTAATGACTTTGAGGACACATTCCTTTGCCGTGGTCTGTCACTGCATGTCCGGGATATACCTTTTTATTGTACCTGTGGCTAAAAATAAACCAGGTGTTTTTCATGGATCGTTGCTTCAAGTCATGGCTTTTTTGGTCCTGCGTTTCAAGTGTTAGCATATGTGTATATACAGACGAAAAAAAAGAAATTAATTCAGGGTGTATGTTAGGATTATTTTATTATTCTTGATTGTGAGCCATTTAAGAAGGGGATTAATTGATTTAGTTCAATATGAGCCTACCCTTTGATGAAGTTTGAAATACACAGAATTTTAATTCCAAGCCAGGGGAACTTAACAGTGGATGGCTTAGTTTTGAATTTGGAGTGTAGTGTTTTATTAATTAGAAGAGCGCTGTGTAATTAATTAATGCTTTGTGAATGTTGAGTGGGGCAAATCTATAGAGGAAAATGGAATGTATGCTCGAACGTCGGCCAACACGAACCTATGTCGAGGAGGAAAAAGAGGAGAGGATGTATCATCCTCCCCCCTCCGTTCTTCAGGTAAGCCACCCCTCTTGCATGTCTACAACTGCATCAGTGCACCATGTCCTTGTTAATGGATTCGTACCTTTATTGAACTTTGTTGTGGTTGATATTTTGTTGTTGTCAGATGCACTTGCTACATGCATGCCAAGAGACAACCCACAGTGTACATGCATGTATGTATATGAACCTTGTAAAATAAATAAAATTTTCAGTGCAATACAACACCTCTCTTAATTTGATATCTGTCCCCTTCACCTATGTTAAATTCTTGAAACACTTTGTACGCTAATATATGGGCAAGAAGTTTTTCTGATACCAGATCTAGAAGCTCAGCAATTCAGGTATATAAACACACAAAATGCCTTCACTACCTGCTTGCAGTCTAATCTATCGATTTCAGGGCCCAGCCATTGGAAATCTGTTCTGAAGATGCCTGGTTTATAAGGTTGACAAGATTAAATATTTCACTGTGTATGTAGGGCACAGGATCAAATAATGATCCTTTCATAGTCGTATTAAGTTCTCTCCCGCTGTCTGTATGGAATTTTTCTTCTCTTTTTCCATTGAGATATTTATATGGGCCCATCACTTAAGATCTCTCGAACCCTTTTCAATTTGACAGTTAATATATATTTCACTTGTAAATATCATAGGTGGCATTTAATTTCACATTCAAACAATATAATCGTATAAATAGTTCTCAGATTAATTGTTTTGATATTTAACATTAAATATATGTTACATTGATAAGTCATTTGCAAAAGTTATTAAATTTTCAATCTTCATATTTGGAATGCATATAAATATAAAAAAAAATTTAGTGTGCTTGATTTAAGCCCTTTTGAACATGACTTGTCACTTAGCTGTACCATATACCCAGAAGAAAGAAAGATTCCATTTAATTTTCAATCGGTAGAAGTTGCCAACACTAGAATTTTCTCAATCATCTTGATCACCAAAATTTTCAAAACATGACAAGGCGATATGATAAAAATCAAACCATTTGTTCAAATTCCGTTCAAACATTGTTTGTTAACGGTTGACGATTTACCCATTCTGATAGAGTGATTGTCACACAAAGTGTATCCGCAGTACTTGGCATTCCGCATTATCATATAGATGATAAAACTTGGGTCGATCTTGTACGTTTAGTTAGGAGGAACCATTGTTGACTTCCTTTAGATAAACTTGTTTGTTGATTTATGTACATAATGTATGTTTACTAAAGCAGGAAATCTTTTGTGGGTGAAGTTAATGAAGGACCGTTATAAACGTAGATTGGTAAAGAGCCTAAAATGGAAATAGCACAGGCTAATGTTTAAGCTATAAAAATGATATCTTGAGAAAAATGACAATAGAGATTCATGAATATTTGAATATTATTAACCCCAAGATTTAAAGAGAATGAAACTATTTGGATTATAATGAAGAATTTGTGTGTCAATCTTTGACATAAAATATAAGGATACCCCCTACCCCACCCCCAAATTGACATTTTAATGTTCAAAAGCCTTGAAAAATTTATTTATTCTATGGAATACTGTAAACCAACTTTTATTTGCGTGCGAAAGTTTCGCGAATTACTTTAAGTCGCGAATATTAATCGCTGCGATCCATTTATTTTCCTTTGTTTTTGTAGAAAGTGTTTCCTTATTCATGAAAATTAATTGCCACGGATTGATTTCAAACTGATGAATCGCGAATAAAAGATGACACAAATAAAAGTTTGTTTACAGTAAGGGGGGCACACAAAAACACCCCCCAATCCCTCTACAAAGTATAGTGTTGTTTTGTTTATTGGAACAAACACAAACCTTAAGATAGATAATCACTCTTTCATCCATTATATTTAATTACGATTCCATCATATTGAATTACCGGGGGTATGTCACAGATAGCTTTAATGTACTTGGAATAAATTGGTGACCGTTTAATTTCAGATCTTTCACTATTAGGTCTTGTGGTCGCTTTCCATCTAAGTCTCTCGTTACTGTTAAATAAACCGTATTCTTGTAAATGACTTGTAATTATTTATTGATCCAGTAATATCTCTGTGTTAAGTGTACTTTATGTGGGTATTTACCTAGGTTCTCTAGGTGACTGATAGGTTGATCTACATGTAAAATGACCAAGACTGCGGTAGTATATATACAGTTACAGATTTTAATTAAGGCACAGGAGGTGATGAAGATAGGTGATTTTTCTTTGATGTCAGTATAAATAAATTCCTTTTCGGACTTGGTCATTTGTATACCATTTTGTATACTTTGAATTTTTCATTGATATTTTAATGTAAGCCATTGTCAGCAAAATTTGTAAGAAATATCCTTAAAAATTTGAAAATTTCATACAGGAACAAGAGACATTCCAGTTAGGGTTATCTCTCTTATCAGAGGGTCCAAATACATTAAGAAGGTTCAATATGGAAAAAAAAATTTAATGAATAGATGACGGAAACTTGCAATTGGTCAACTAATGTAAATTCTTAATGTCCGTTTTAATTTTTGTGTGTATTTATAAGGTCATGGTGTGTCTAAGGGTAGGGGGTCAATCAATTTGGGGGATTTAGTCTAGTGCACTTATATTTGCTAACAAGTGACTATAAATGACCCTGCAGCTTCAAGTATGTAAATTTTTTTTTTTTACATTTGACTGTAAATACAGGAACATGTATTTTGAACATTTTTCTTGTTGAATAAAGTTACATGTACATTTAAATAATCTACACCTGTGTATTTTCCCTTGACCTTTGACCCAGTTGTTTGAGTGGACAACTGTTAATTCACAATCCGAGCAACCTGTCAATCCGTCCAATAGGGGGAAAAAATTGAAATGATGGAAAAATCTATAAAATTTATATGATAAATGTACCTTTCTATTGATTGAATCAGTTCGTCACCATATGGTGTGCCTCATCCCTCTTACCTTTCAGTGAAATATGGCTTATCAAACAGAATATGTTCCGGATGTTTGCATGGGGTTGAGCTTGTGTTTATTTCTGATGTAGATGGTATGTATGTTTCTGATACAAGTGAAAGGGTATATATAGGGACTTATCTTAATCTGGACTTGTGTCTTGTATACGTACTATGATAATACATACCTGCATTTGCAGCTGATTTTTCCTCATAACTGCATGATGTTAAAGTGAATTCTATTTCCTGGATATATAACTGAGTTGATATAAAGACTATATATCTAAAGTAAGTTTTAGAAGTCTGCTTACAAAAAAGTTTTTGTACTAGTGGGAAAATAAGATTTTTTGTGTTCAAATGTTGGAATAGGGATCAATTCTTCATTGAAACAGAGTTAATACTGAATGAAATGCATAGATTGTGTGTGAAAAAGTTCAAAGAGTTACAAGTTTGTGGACACAAAAAATATATACATACATAAGTATACATTCTTAGTCACAACAACCTGATTTTTCTTTGTTATCAGGATTGAATGGACTATTGGGAAATTTTTCCTGTTGATTTTTACAATTTTGAATTTTTTTATGCAGGGTCTACCTTTAAATTATTGGTAAACATTTGACAAGTCACCTGCTTCATTTGTCAAGTGTATATACCCACTACATCTCAGGGTTAATGTTAGAGTTTCTAGTGTTTCCAGTTCTCATTTGATTGATTTGTTCGAGGGAATATAGATTAAAACCTCCATTGATAGGTTAGACCTGCAAAATGATGTACCCAGTGTAAGGCATTGGTAATATAATGCCATTGAACTGGAAAATAATAGAACCCATAAGGCAGCAATAATGGTGGGTATATTGTGTTACTGTATGAAATAGGAGAAGGGTTTTGTAAAGGGTTGATTTCTAATGACTTTTTGTTTTTAATTGAATTCAATATTTTTTTTTGCAGAATCGAAGATCGTCGGAAGAGAAAGACCGTCACCTTCAGAAAAGAATTGCTGAGCTTCAGGCTCAGACGCAAAGGCTCGAACGTAAAATTGGTCTCCTGAAAACGGAAAATGATTCCTTGGTAAGCTCGCAATATTCAACTCCGTTATAAATATAATATTTACCACATACATGTACATGTACATGAGAGTGACAAAATACCAGTTTTTACTTTTATCTATTTACCAGCAATTAAATAATTAATTGAAATGATATATCTGGTAATGTTTTTAACATCACTGATTGCTCATTTGTCTTCAATGATTTGATTTATTTGAAAATCAATGCCCTAGCTGAATTATGAATAGATCTGGCACATGACAACTTTCATTTTGTCACAAGATAGGTTCAATACTTTTTGCATGTAAACTGAGTATTTGTGCAGTATATTATATTTATAACGTGCATTTGATATACAAATTGGTATGCAAATCCTTTGCAATGTTGCTCGTAATTTATAAGCCAAACATTGGCAGACCTAAACGTTTTACCTTATTTGTGTTATTGATATGCATTTAAAAAACAAGGATCAACTTCTAATCTGAAACACTTAACAATGTGGACTAAATTATGTCGTTAAACTTTAAATGGTGATTAAATTAGAAAGGATACTTAATGCTTTAATCTTCGAAGTTTATACGTGTGCTAAAGTACCTGTGTATTATTTATGCTGGTGCCACAAAGCTAAAAAAAAAAAGTACACTTTCTGCACTTTCTGGTAGAATAGAATCTTTTATTGTCACTCTTGTAAACATTAGTGAAGGCATGGCATATATATTTTTTCTAAATCTGAAAGTTATAAGTTGTGCGCATATACTTTTTAAAGAATTATGTAAACAAAGATAATTTTTTTCTGCACATATGTATGTGTATTCATGCATTTACCCTGGAAATCTAAATCAATATTTAAGGAAATTTTGCAAAATAATTTTCTCAAGCACATTATTTCCTGAACTTCTGTGATACGTAAATAACAAAAAAAGATGCACATGATTTGAATTATTAGTCTAATACAGGAACTTATAGTTTTCTTATGGTAAGCTAACATTATAGTTAGCAAATGGACCTCATCAAAAGTTGCTCAGATGGTTGAATACACATATAAAATGTAGTACAAATTAATAAAGGTTAACAAAAGGGCAGGTAATTTGTCAATAATCGCTTGATAGATTACTTGGAGTTTTGCCATAGATAGTAATAATAAACATTTATAAACGACTCGCATTCTGATTACAGAATCTTGAAAGAAATATTAAATTGATATTATACACATGGTAGCTAGGTCATAGAAATTCTAGTAGCAATTAAAGCATAGAATAACCAATGCTGAATGATTAGATCGAGGGAAGTTCGGACATTATGATGGGGGAGACTTTTTCAGATAACTTATTATTTCACACCACAGTATCTGCATTTCTTCCAATTTAAAATTCATTGGCCAACGGTTTATATATAATTATCACATGTTCATTTCCAATTGCCAGAGGAGATAACTCTGCATGTCGCAATGAGTCACTTTCATTAACTGTGATATAAACCCTGGTATTTTATTGGGCACTAGAAAATAATTTTTCTCTTGCTACCTGATAATGGTGGTTGATTACATATATTGATCACAGGAGAATATGCCTGCCATTTTTTCTTTGATCTTTTTCCTGTACCATCGTTTCTCCCTATTAGGCAGAAATTGATAAGTTTTTAACATCCAAATCATTCCCTCTCTGATTGCCAACTGCAAATAGAAAGAAAAGGATGCAAATTTAAAAAAAAAAAAATGAAAAAATGTCGGGTTTGGCTTCAAGCTATAAAATTACAGCTACAGTATTGTTGCTGATGAGTAGTGTAATTTAATCACCATTAAAATTTGATACTAATGTTAATCTGCAGGTATTTTCCTCTAAGTCATTACTCTCAAACCCAGACGACATATATACCATTTCAACACATAACAAAAGACTTTTTCTCCTCAGATCAGGATAAGATCTTTGTTTAATTGATGATCAAATGGTCATCTGGACTCTCAAAGTCAAGAGTTCACAAAAACAATAGCTTTTATCTCTGTACAATAACTTACATGTGGACATATGCCCCATCATCTAACATGATATCACAACTTATCTTAATGATCCAAAAGTCTGAGACAAAAAAAGTTCACAGAATGTCTGCATATTTTATGACACCATATTTACTGATAGACATTTATTAAAATGTTATCAATCTTTACAAAAATTAAGAGATCCAAAAGATGCCTTTTGTGCTTTTTGATCCTTTGTCTGTGAAATACCTGTATGACTATAAATATCCATGATGCACATGATTTAATACACCCAACACATGGTGCAGACAAAAAATTGACAGAATATGATGCCATGTATTGTTTTCAGTCTGAACATGTATTGACCCTGGCCCAAAACAAAAATTTTAAGGGAAAAGGGGGTTTGTGTCAAATGTGGTGGAAAAAAAAAGTGTGGCGTGAATCACATTGACAGTGAACATCTAATGTCTAGGGGGCATTATTTTGTTGTTCAAGTCATCAGTACTGGGCTAAACAAAACACAACCACATATTGTTATAAACTGACCAGTGAATTTATTAACATCTGACTTTCCAGAGGCACGAAACTCTGAACCAGAAGGTAAAATTTTTTCTGATTTTTTCCTCTCACTTTTTACTAATCGTTGAGTTATAGTCGGACAGCATGAAGCAGAGTACTAAAAAGAGAAATCCCCTTGGTGGCAGCGGTCAAATTGACAGGAGTTTTGTCCATTGATTATAAAGGTTTCTTGTCTTTGACAGGTTTATGACAAAATGGGTCCTTCTATGTGTTCTCCAAGACAGTTTATATGATGTAGACACATTTTCTCTAGTAGCTATATATGTTTTCATGTAGATATTTTCCTTAATTAGTAAAATTCTTGTCCTTAACTTAGTTAAGACACGTGTTTTTGATTTAGGTAAACCGTGATCAGTTGCATTGAGAGTGCAGGACTGTACTCCAAATATAATCAAAAGATGGCATGTGTGTAAATTATACATATATAGCTAAAGAAAAATGATTTTGCCTATATTATGACCAAATGGTCAGAATTTTCAACAGCCACTACTTAAAAAACGTCATTGTGTATGTATTATATATTAACTGAGCCTTGTACTAATCAGAAATTGGTCAAAGGAGCATGCAATCATGATATACATTAACTGTAAATCAAATATTGGTTTTGTTGATTGGTTGGTAATTAAAGTATACTAGGTATAATAGCTGTGGCTACAGACTATGATATTTGGACATGATCAATATAGACTGGTAGGTCACTACTAAAAACATTGTTGACATTCTTTTTAATCAGATATAGAAGGCACTCCTTGAATATAAATATATATACATATCGGTACAAACATGTATACACATTATCTATGTATTATATAACCTTAATACCCTATAGCTTGTTGAATGTTCACTGCTACCAGGTTAACAATTTTAAGTAAAAAAAGTATATATTATGTATGATCCTGTGAATTTTGTTTATTTGCAAAGGGGTGGGGTGAAGATTGGGGTGGGGGACAAATTGATTCCCATCTATAAATAGAATTATATATCATTCCATTTTAGGATATACATGTTCTACAATTAATTTTATTATTTGGAGTACATGTATTTCAGTGTTTATATTAGGCGTTACATGTTTCCCTGTCCTAATATAATGTAAGTCTGGAGCTGTTTGTAAACGATGTGATGATTTACACATCTTTAGCAAAAATACAATGCCAAAAACAGTAGACTAAATGGTGATGTGACATCTTAAAATTCAGAATTGCATGGTTTTTGGGAAAAATATTTGTAGAATACACTAATCATGCTTTTCAGATCTGGGTTGAAGGGTTTATAACAGCAAAGTATTTTTTGAAGGATATGTGGGATTGAGGGTTTGCATGCATACAATTTTAATTGAAGCTGCAACCTGGTTTAAGAACATAAATTATATACATTATTTTACATATCCCGTACATTATAAAATTATGCAGTTATGGGGTGATTAATTTTATCATGAATTTGGGAAGATTATTAATAGTGTATAGCTTTATATATGTGACACATTTATGTATCACAAAACAATCTTGATAGATCCTAGACTCCCTAGACTATACTGCAGCTGAAGAGGAAGATGTAACATAATTGAATTGAATTACACCTATGCATCAAACATAATCTTTGAAAATTACTTGACGCTTCTAATGTGAAAACATTCTTATAAGTATTTGATATGTTTATGTGGACACCATGGAATTGTAAATTTTGGAAGAAATTGTCCTACATTTCATTTTGTTCCAGTCGCAAATCTAATAGTGTGTTACTTCCCTGTAGGAATGTCAGATTGTGGAAGTAATTTATGCTTTTTGTCTTGAAAATTATACAAGTGACAAGCATATAATTCTTTTATAAAGAAGATAAAGACTAAAGAGAATCAACTTGTTCCTCTAATAATTATTAGAATTCTTATAGCTGATGGGTAGAAAGAGGTTTTCAATTTGTCGTGATGACGAGATAATTTTGCTTTGAAGAAATACTATATCACAATGAATTCCATACATTTCGTAGGTTTACAAAAATGGCTGGTATATCTTTAGTGTCATTCATATAGACTAAGGGCACATTTAAAGTTAATTTAAAAAAAAAAAAATATGGTTTGCAATCATGTTTGAAAATAAACCAAGGCAAAGAGTTTTTGTAATGCATTAATTGAATTCTTAAACATTTCTTTTTCTATCTTTTGATTTGTATTTAGTTAGTTCTGTATATCTTATTTTTGAATTTCATCAATATAATGTGCCCAAGTTTTGTTAAATTTCAATATTTATATAAATCTATGTACATTCTTCAGAAACGACAAAAAGATGACCAGAAACCTTTGGAAGAGAAAATCAAAACTCTGAAAAAACGCAATGCGGAACTGGCAGCCATTGCTAGACGTCTGGAAGAGAAAGCTAAGCATCTGCAGCAAGAAAACATGAAGGTATGATATGGCTACCAGATAACTACCATTTTTAAAATATGCCCAAAAAAGGAAATTTATTGCTGGTACATAAATTCTAAGAAAGATGAATAAGCAGTATCATGTACTTCTTTGTTCAGTGTATAACAGATATTACTGATTTTTTTTCTCTATCTGTATAGGAAGCTTAAGAGCTAGAACACAATTTTGATCATGCATGATTGAAAAGCTGAATGGACTTCTTGCAATAATCTTATTTTCAATCAAATAAGATAATATGCAATAAAAAAAATAACTATACAATTTATTTATAACAATGAAGATGACATGACTTTCTTGTTTTGCTTTTAGAAGGTAAAAGAAGAAATGAGTCCACCAGAATCTGACCATATGAAGAAACTGTTCGCAAGGCAGAGGGCAAAGGATCTAGCAGACCATGCCAAGGCCATGCTGGCCAAGGACCGTGAGATTGAGGAACTACGCAAAAAATGTCAGGAGTTGGCAGATACACTCAGCAATGCCGACTTCCTGGGTCCGGAGGTAAATGTTGGCTATTGTCCCTCACTAATATAGACTGTGCTGGAAAACGTGCAGTCTATGTTTTTCACGTCATAGTTTTGAAAACATTGAAAGAAAACAATTAAGGATCTGATTGTATAAAAATTTGTGATTTCAATATTTTTGATGTTAATTTTTTTTGTATTCTGATGATAATTGCATCAATATTTTAAATATCCTTTTTTTTTTTTTTTTTTTTTTTGAAAACTTTATATGGATCGATATAAACTATGGCAAAATGATCTATTTTGATGCAAAAAAAAAATTCAAGATTGAAAATAGAGATCCATTCTTGCAAGCTCATAGGGAAGAAAAATACTTATTTTTAACAGTTCCATTATGCTGTAGAAGGAATTGTGCAACGAGCAAAATTTTACATCCTAACTATAATTTTCAAGGAAATCTTTCCACTGGGATTAAAACAGTTTTTTAATGGCTATGGTATTTATTAATTAATCTGCAGGACTTGAAAAAAAAAAAACTCAGGTTAGTTTGATATATTAAACATGTTTTTATGGTGCAGATTATTTATTAAAATAAATCAACTTTATTTTAATATTTATATGCCCTAAAAAAAATGTGGCCAAAAAATTTATTTGTTTGGACCATTCTCCATTAATTTATGAATCCTTGAATACTGCCAAATCCATGAAAAATGATGGCCATGCATGCATATACAAATTTTGTTGAAACCGTAGTATTTTTCAATCACTACTATAGTCCAGCACCAAGGAACTATGTGTACCAAATACGCAAGTTTCAAGATTATCTCCCTTGGTGCGCTCTTTCGTTGAGGAGGGGAGTTTCGTTGCCGCGTAAACAAAAAGGTGGGACAGATATTTGATACTGTGTATGTTGGATACATTGCATCATTGATATACCGGTTTATCATTACTACACAATTGTCAGGATGCACTCTACAACTTGAGAATAACCTAATTAAAGTAAAGGCATCATTTTTGAAGCAAAAAAATCGAAACAAAAAAGAAAATATCAGTGGATGTGAGACTTTTCAGACGAGGGAAGAGATATGGACCTCTGATAAATACGGTGCACATGCATCTGATTACGTCGGGAATCTTAATGACATATTGATTCTTTTCCTTATTATGACTTTAAAAACACTAACTTTTTAGAAAATATTCGTACAATCAAGAAATTCGGTTACTTTTTATAAAAACTACGACGTTTCTTTCGTTTTCAAGTACCTGAAAATTAATAGTAGAATTGTAAATATGCATAGTTGAGCTTGATAAATCATCAAATGCATCACTGCTGAACATTATTATCTTTCTATAACATTTAGCAAATTTTAAGAACCGTAAATATCGTTCTTTTATTTATGCATGTTTGTATACAGAGACAACCTGTCCCACCTCCATGCTGAAATGGGTACTTTTTGCGCCTCTATCGTAGGAGAGTTACAATCTCGAAACTGGCGTATTTCTTATTTTTTGTTTCTGCTATTTTATCATGAACAAAATATTAAAAACTGTGGAAAAAAATCCTTAATTGCATCGTACTAGGGAGTGTCTTCCTTATAGTGGTTGATGAAAATTAATTTAAAACAAAGAGAAAAATATTAAATTAAGGCTAGGTTCTGCAGTATATATAACGACTGCTTTCATTAGTCTGTACATGTATGTACAAAACAAATAACTATTGATATCTATATTCTGAAGGATTTGAAATGTCATGTTTTTCCAAGATAAAGTATTTATCAAATTATCATCTACGGCTGATAACGTGTACAGCCTATACAATATCATTCTCACCTGAGACCTTACTTAAGCAGAACTCGCGCAAAACAACAAGATTCTGTCTTAAATTAAATCATCCCACAGCAAGAGATGTTATTCAATCAAAAGATGTATCGACAGATTTAAGAGGAAGTAGTACCATTGTATATAAAAAGTGAAGGAAATTACGTGTAGATTTATATATACCTGTGAGATTTAATAGTGCTGTCATTAGCAGGAGTGTTGGCAGCATATAGGGTTCATCATGTCTTCTGCAAGGATGGAGTGTGAACAAATGATCTGTAGCAGTTTTACGGGGGTTTTATGATGTTGAATTGTGATTTCTGTCAACAGAATGTACAAATGTACGAAGAAAAGGAGGAACTGGTGACCATAATCAAACAGGCAGCCAAAGAGAGGCTACAAATGGAGAAACAACTGGCCAAGATCAGACCAAACGTGGTAAGTCTTCGTCAAAAAGTTTTTCAAATCTTAATCGTTTGTGGGTTTTATACAGTTAGTTTGGGATACAGAGACAGAATTTTTGTCAATAAAATAATGTTAACTTATCATTTCCCTCCAGGACAGAAAGATTTACTGTACTGCAGTTGTGTTTAAGTTGCTATTGTATTAACTCTGACATTTTCATCTTATCAATTGGAAAGGCGGTCTATATAATTATACTATTGTTGGTGATCTAAGAACTTATGATAGGATTTAATTTGAGCTAGCGGTCATCTAATTCTTTGAAATATATTTTGTAAAGAAACTACTTGATTTCTTGAAGTTGTGTAATGTAGCATTCTGCAGACAGTTCTGTAAAAATTTATTGGAAGAAAAAAGATTAATACAGATGAAATGCCAAAGAAAAGTGTCTGCCCTAGCTTCGAAAATAAATTTGCTAATCTGTTTTCAGACCATATTAAGAAAAATTAGAGAGAAGTTTGATAAATGGTTTTCCATGAAATAAAAGCATAGAGAATAGTAAAAAAACATGCATGATCATAAGCATTAACTTACCAGCTAGAATCAAGAGGATTTTCAGTTTCAATATACTTAATAGTACAAGAGCACAGTTTTTAGCTCTACTGGTCAGAGACCAGAAGAGCTTATGCGATAGTAATGCATCCGTCGTCCGTCCGTCTAGCTGTCTGTCTGTCTGTCCGTCTGTAAACAATTTTTCAAAATGCTACTCCTACAGTTATGGTCTGATTTCAATATAACTTGGCACACAAGTAGACTACACTAAGATACATAATTCTATATATAGGTTTTTGTTTCAATGAACGGTGTTGCTATTGTTACTTAAAAAAGAAATTTCTTTGAAATACATTTAAAATGCTACTCCTTCTTCAGTTTTGGTCTGATTTCAGTATAACTTGGCACACAAGTAGACTACACTAAGATACATAATTCTGTGTATCGGTTTTAGTCATTATTCTATTTATTTCTTTTGTAAAGTTTTTTATCCCAACTGCTACTTTCCTCTTTCATTATTATAAGTACAAACCAGTAGAGCTTCAGTCTTGACAGAGACTTCTGGTTTTTTTCATTCCAGTTTAGGTCTAAATTTGTTTTTCTTGTCTGATGTCTGAAGATTAGGGCAGATTTGGTTCTAAATCAATGGCTCGTCCTAAATAAAGTAATGAATACAAATGACAGAGGGGGGATATTGCGTGCTGTTAAGTTAAAGCTCAAACGATGGACTGGAAAGACTCCACAGTTCTCATCCCTTTTCCTTGTCAAGATAATTGTGATTGCAGCCATTAAAATTATTCTATCATCATTACTGGGGATTTACCAGAGTACTCCTAAATCAACCAAAAACAAAAAAAAGAAATAAAAGATGAAGACAAAAAAGACCCCTTTTAAGGGAGAAAACAAGAGAGCTAGTTTATACCGTATATCAGGATTTTACTATGTGTATCCGATTTCCGCTTTGTTCGCGACGAGTTCTGAATCGCGGAAAATAAAACAGCGTAAATTTAATACAAATTTTCTTCTTGTAATAGAATTATTTCTTAATGCTTGTATCGTAGAGGGTAGAAATAGCAGGATCAGAGGACAAGTGCAAGATACCGGTAATAGGTATAAGCCCTTATTGTTTGTTTACTAATTGACAAGCTAGCTAATCATATGGGTCACGTTCCTTGCGAGAAGCTATTAAACTAATTAGACTGAGCTGCTAGTCAGTTTGGAACAGTAAATGACCTATGATTGTTTAATTCTTAAAAAATAATATCTGTGGATTTGAGAGCTGGTACGCAACACAGGTGTGTAATCAGCTGAGCAGGTCTTCCGAAAATGACGAAGTGAAGGTCGATCGATCTGTTTCTCACCCGGATGAAGTAATTCAAGCTTAATGACTTTACATTTTACATCCAATTCCTTTATAGGCTTAAACAATTGTTAATAATACAATCACTGGGACTTTGGAATAGTGAAAATTTGATTCGCGTAAATTTAATATACTGATTTAGGTTCCGATTCGCGGAAAAAACATGACGCGGAAAAAATCTGATATACGGTATAGTGACCCGTAGTTTTTATTTAAATATTGAAGATCTCTTAATTTGTCACACCAATCAACCTCAACCATTATAACATATTTAGCATAGAAATCAGTAGTTAATCCTTATACTAATAAAAAGAGCCTAAAAGAAGTCCTAATCAATATGTATGGCCAGCATGAGGGAGAGGCAGGTCAGTTTGGTGACAATATTTTGACTCATATAGGAGCTAACACTCAATTCTTCTCTGTTCAGTCTTAAAGTTCTGAGGAAGACATCTATGGCAGAGGTAATTTTGTTGAATTTAATCACGAATTCCTGTGAGAAATACTAGAGGGACCAGATTTTATTCAAGAAACCCCAAACTTATTTAATTATCAATATAAGCTCAGGAAAATAAATCCAGATAGGAAAGATTTGAAGTTCAATTCGAAAATAAGAGCTCAGGATGATTTTATGTATGGATGTTATTTGTTATAATTCCAGAGTCGCTTCTCATTGGTAAGTAGGACCACCGTTGAAGCCTTTGTGGGGCACACTTTGTCTTGATCTACCTGTGTGATCTATGTTGTGCACTTTGCTGCCATTTTTATTTTTCCATTGTTGCTTCCAATGCAGAGGTTGAGGGGGCTTGTCTCTGTCATTTTTTGTTGCCATGTTTTTATTAATTTTATAGAAGAGTACCACCTTCAGTTAAGTCATGATCATGCATTGATTAATTTTTTGCAAGTCATGTTTGCTGAAATCTTGCTTTGTGTATGCTGTTGAGGTTAAGTGTTAAAAAAAAAACAATGCCAGCCTTGAAATTGCCTTTTGTAATAATTATAAGCTAGAGCATGGTCATTTTCTTTCTTTAACCTTATATGGATTCAAATACACCCACCCACCCCTCTTTTAAAACCCAAATTCATTTTAAGCTCTATTGATCATTTTAAAATGGCTTATGCAGCTTAAGTTTCTTGCATTCATCTATTGCAGTTTGACTGTATAACTGTCCACCTGTTTTCAAAGCTCTACTATAAGCACTCTTGAGTATTAACCAATCAACTTCATATTACTCATGTGTTGCAGAGTTTAAAGCATTTCACTCTGCAGTTTGATGTAAGGAGTTGATCCTTATCTGACGGATTGAAGCAAGGAGTTGATCTTTACACACCAGATTTGAATTTGATGTTGTGATCTAGGTGAGGACTGGTGCTTTTTAAGAGTCTATACTTAGCTGATGTCTCCAGGTCATGGTAGCTCCTGTAACAATAAAACACCCCTCATTGTTTAATGGCCAGTTGGCCACAAGTGGGAACTACAGGTCTAAATTTGCAACCCTCCACCAGCAATTAGTTTTGTCTCAAATGATTTTTTTTTAAAATCATCAACATCTGGTCAATAAGAGATCAAGATGCATAATGAAATATGCTCTTGTGACTTTGAGTACCATGGTTTCTAAATCTCAAAATAAATTGTTAATCTAAAGCGATGTACCTCAACATGTAATAAATCTGGATTTCAAAACAAAAAGTTTTAGTTGCCATGGTATCTGATGATAAGTTAAAAGTACACTCTTGATAATGCTAATAAGTGACTTCTTTTAACATTAATACAATTAAGTGCTAACTACATTTATTTGATGATAGTATAAGCAGTGATGCCATGGTTACTCTTAATGGATAATTTCTCAGATCTTTTTCAAAATATTGTGGGTTAATTCAATGAAGTATATTTTAATTACTGTAAATCACTTTTTATTCACAAGAACTTTATTTTTGCGTAATTACGCGAGATGGAATGCTCGCGAAAATTTCATTCTCGCGAATTATAGAATTCCTTAAGATTGTATAGATCAGTGAACATATTTTATTGTATAATTTATACAATGGGATTGGCTACAAGTTCTTGCAACTTAAAAAAACAATAGATCAGTGACCACAATTCGTGAAAATTTTGTCTCGCTAATAAAGAGTCAATGACTATCTCGCGAAAATAAGGTGTCGCGAAAATTAAGTGATCTACAGTGTCAGGTATTATTTATTTCAAAGTGCTAATTTTCAGAAAATCTTGAAAGTCGAACCTGTTTGTTTAAATGCAGAATTCAAACGTTAGTTCAAAATTCAAAAGGGGGAATGCATGCATGCTCCAATCAAGCCTTCAAGCTATGTAGTACCTATAGAGCAACAGTATCATCAGAGATTTTGGGTTTATCTCTTTCAAGGTTATGGTCCTCAGAGATTTCAATTTTATCAATAGACAGGAGTACTAGTAGTTTCACAAATGCATTTTGTGGTATATTTCAGGAAGTTTCAGAATGTAAAAATCTCTCTTTTTTTATAAGCAAATTTGAATAAACCATTTTGTTCTCAAATGTTGGAAAAAAGTATTAACTTCATTTGATAGTCATGATTTACACTGCACAGAATTCTACTGAATTACTTGATAGAGTTGTAATCTTTCTATAGCTTCATCGTGACATTTTGCACTAAATGGCATAACACTGGGCCAACAATTTGGTTGTTGGGTCTGGCAAATTGCATGTTGCCCTTGAACCCAGTCAACCATTTCATAAAATTTCATTAACAGTGACATTGAAGATAAAGTCAATTGATTTTAATTTTAGCAGCTTACTATTATCCCTTGATATGCTCAAAATGGTTTACATATTTGTATTTTAATGTCTTTGATTATTTTTCACTGAATTTGAGTGATCTGATTTTCCTATGCATTGTCATATGAAATACACTGTACATATTGATTTCCTATCTTAAAAATTTCTGTCTTTGAACTAAATGAACTGGACACTCAATAAGTCACATGGCTATATCTTCAATAGATGATGTAATTAAGTGACAGATGTATCGATTCTTATTGAGCTTTATTACAATCATGTTTCTGATGTGACAATTAGATTTACTCCTGCTCTTCAATTCAATATCCTAGTACTCAGACATAGACCTAAATTAAGCAGTTGCTCTCTCCAATGAGAACACATGCACTTAGCGAGATCTCTAAATTATCAATTTTTAAGGGTTTACGTAGGAAAAGAGAATTTCCTTTCACTTTTCCATAAATTTTTCCGCTGTTAAAGACATTTTTATTGGACAGGAAATTAATAATTTAATGAACTGCCATTGAAAATGTAGGCTCAGTGGGCATTATTTTCCAGCATTAATTGAGCATGGATGACATCAACATTATTTGTGTTTCTGGATGTGCCAGAATATGGCTGTAGCTTTTCATGGCAGGTATATGTTGTGATAACCCAATGCTGTAAAATTGTCGCTGGTCAATATATGGATCAATTCTACTTAGAAACGAGTTAAAAGAATTTTCCAGCCATTAGAAGATTCTGCATTAATACAGGGGAGGCGATAAGGGAGTGAGCCGTGATTTGGTGTAGAATTCGAGGATATTAGCCATCGCCGTCTGATCTTGTGGCAAAATATTGATCAGAAGGTCCTTTTTTTCCTTTCTGAAATACTAGCAAGTGTGAAGGACGGAGATAGTATGAGCTAGCTCTAAGCATACTGAACAATTGTGTTTTTTATGATTTATTGAACATTATAAGCACACAGGGAGATCATATAGAAGTGGTGGACAGTACAGAGTCAATTTGCATCAATTTTCCATCCTGCCCCCAGGCCTCTGATTTCCACTGCAGTGAATTGTTGGACAAATGAGATAGGAGATGGCTTTTTGTGATCAGAGAACCTTGGGGTAGATGAATAGATGATGTTCGATTCTGAAGATTAATTCGTTGGATTGAGATTTATATATCCGTTAGTTCCAAGAACATACGGAATATATAGGGACTTAACAAGACTCAAATTTCTACTGTTGGATTTCTTTTTTTCTCCCAAGAAAAATCAGACTTGAGCCATCATTTGTGGGGATTTGCAAGCTTTGCTTAAGGTATTTTTCTCCGTGAGACCTAGTCGTTTTTTATGTGTTGGTTAAATAATTGATGGTTTAATTGTTGGATTCAGGAAAGTCATGCAATGCCTCTTTGCATTGGTGTCTTTATAATTTATGGTAAAAAAAGATTCCTCAATATTCATAGAATAACATACATAGAACATGTATATTGTGGTAAAAGAAAATAAATAAATTTTAAAAAAACAGCAATGTTTTGGGAGATTAAAATTTGATGGTATTTAATATCAAAAAATTAAATTCTTAACAAACATTTTAATTTTTTTTTAAAAATTATATATTCTTATAATGAAAGGCAAGTTCCCATGAAATCATTTGATACTTACTTAGATCACAAATTCAGATTTTATTCCCTGGGAATTTTTTTTTATTATTCAAGACATTTGACAAAATTTTGTAAGAGACAAAAGTTGGAAGAGATTTATTGAATGGCAGCTGGATATGAAAGGACCCCACTTCACTGCAATATTAAACTTGATTGTGTTGTCTTGCACTGTTAAAGTGTTGCATAATTTTGATGTTTTAAGCCCTTATAATTTTGCCATCATTATACACAGAAAGGTTTACAAAACAGAGAGGACAATTTTTAAGTTAATGCAATCATGCTTGCACTTTGAAGAAAGGCACTTAAAATTTTGTTGTGTTACAGGAAAATCATAAAAATAGAATACTTCAACATATGGCACATAAAAACAATTGCTTTATAGAGGTCTGTAAATTGATACGATGTTGTAAGGATCACTTTTAGGTTTTACATTGACAAAAATATGATTCTCCCTTGGTACATAACTGTGAGCTAGTTGACACTATAAATTGTATTACTTGTGGAATATAAACTGCATGTGGACAACTCTAAAGTTTCATATTGCTGAATCTCTTCAAATAATGATCGAAGTTTCATGGAAACTCCCTGTTATTGACTTTTCTTTCAAATTTTTAAAATTTGGAAAATTTTATTTGAAACGCTTCTCATCCAAGATTAATTTTAATGCCACTATCATCCCTCATGGAATTGCCACCAGCTTGTGCAGTACTGTTTCTGTCACGGAGTAGCTTTATACTACATGTACAATAGTAAAGAGACAAGCACCTGCACAATGGGGATGAAATAGGCATCAGAAGTCATAACAGTCAATGGTATCATATTTAATCAATAAAATTATAGTCCATATTGACAAAAACAGCCTACCGCTAACAGTGATATGGTTCTACCTATAAAGGTATTACTGGGTGGGAAGAGAAATTGTTATTCCACAAATATCTATTTACCAATACTTTCAGAGATATGTACTTGATAATGTAAAACCAACTGTTATATATGCTAGCAATATCTGAATATGAGGAGTGCAGACCATTCCACTTGCAGATATTGGTGGTAATAAAGAAGGTTTTTATAAAAGAAACTGGAAACCACAATTGTGCATGAATAAATGTCATGAGCAAGAGTTGGCAAAAAAAAAAATAAATCCTGATTATAACAGCTCAAGTTTATAGTATGCTGATCTCCATTTAGTTTTCCAATACTAAAAAAAGAATTTCTACCAAGTGTCATTCAGTCTGAGAAAATTATTCATAAAGGTGCTGTGATATGAATACTTGGCTTCGTGTAAAGACTGTCTGTTTTCTACTTTGAAATGTCTCTATATGAGTGAAAAATTCTCAAATGGGATGCAAATCAACAAACAATCAATCAATCCTTGAAGGTCATGTATAGAAAGGTTTGTTCAGTGGAACAGTTTTGCCAGTGTATTATAGTTATAGAAATGTAATAATCACAATAACATTGACTTTCATGATGGTTTTGGTCAAAATTCAGTGAAAGTATAGAGAAGCTCCCCCAAAGCACAAGCCTGCCTAAATGAAAATGTTCACTTGGGTGGAAAAGGTGTTAATTATATACAATAATGAAAAACTGAGGTTTTGCCCATCTTGTCCCAACTGTCTTATTACCATAAAGCTGGAAACATGGAAATCCATCAGTTTCTTTAGACTGCCTGTATTCCGGATCAATTAGCAGGGTCTATCTGGTTGAGCATGGTCTCGAGTCATTGTGGATAGGGAGAATTTAATACATGTCTTTGAATAGAAAGGGGATTTTCATTTAATTATAACTTGGGTATACACTGTATGTATAATGTTGAATTGGAAATGGAGAGTTTTAAAATTTGAGGATTAATTTTCAAAAAATAAGGTGAGTTCTGATATCAATATAAAAGGATTGTAGTCTTGAATACAGTTGATTCAATAAAATGATGGGAGATTGGGGATATTCTCTTCTTAAAAGCATTTACAGTGTCTATTCAAAAGTTGAAAATGAAATTTTATTTGCAATGTAATACCAGTACTCTCTTTCTTGGCATAAAGCAACTTTAGAATAATAGGGTATCCTTTGTTCCAGTCAAGATTATTTATTGTGCAATTTACAGGTAAGAATTAAATGATGAATTATTGTTGCCATTTTCAGTTCTTAAGTGGTTTCTAATGTTCTCAAGATTGACCAGGAAGATGGACCACATTTTGCAAAATAGGAATAATTGGTTACTAACGAGTGAATTGCATGTTTACAATCGGTAGAAGCGATTTTCAGGAGGTGTAGAAAAGCGAAGGCTTTGGAGAATACGTACTGATTTTGTGGTTGGAGACAGTTTAAATATGATAGATTACTGGATCAATACGTCGGCATGTTTACCTTTTTGAATTGATCAGGGTCCACAACTCTTGTCTTTGCCAGTCTTTTTATTTGTGACACCAAATGCACGTTGGTTGTTTCGATCAACGATAATAGTGCAAGTTGGATTTGATAGGGTTACTTGCATATTTTTGTTTTGAAAGGGCAAAAAGGTAGGTCTTCTAAATCATGCATTTTTCAGAATTGATCCTTTCTTCTATAAAAAGTGTGTTTTTGGAAACATTAAAAAATATCAGTTGAGTTGGGGTATTCTCTCAATTTAACTTTCTAAGACAGGCTTATAAGAATATAAAAGCAAAAAATGTCAATAATGGCAACTTTTACTCCCAGTGAAAGGTTTTCACTAAATGTTTACTTGACTGCATTGACTGTGGATTTTTAATGTTGTGCAAACAAAGATACTAACCCTTTTTATAGCAGACTCCCCCAAAGCCCTGGATTGATTTCTATGGGAAGTTGTATGGGTATGGAAGCGGAAATCAATACACTTCGAACCCCACATGAATTTGACACTTTTTTTGTAGGTGTATCAGACACATTAGATTTGGCATTCATAATACGTTCAATTCTAACACATTGTATTGCACCAATCGAAACTAGGTTTCATAATTTTTTCATGATTTCCCTCCAACAAGATATTGTGGTACTTGTATTGTCTTGTAAGGCCATGACTTATGAGAATACATGAACTTGGGTGCAAATTACTGTAAAATCTCCATTGTGTTAGTTGAAGTATATCATTTCTTTTCTTCCTCTTCTGCATTAGGCTTGTAATTTATTGTCTGCAAGGCCATCGTAGCTTTTATCTAATTTGGCATTAAAGGCTTTGGTATTTTCAGGAATTGATTTTACTCTGGGTTTGTAATACTTTTTTTTGTTGGTTTTCTTGCAGTCGGCTCAGGCAGATTTGAAGAAGTTGAAGGAATTGGAAGCAACCAATGAGACATTACAGAAGGAACTCGGAAAATTAGAGAAAGCCAGAGAGGATACCGAAAAACTCGTGAGTGCAGATGTCAGTTTTTAGAACAATGATCCAATCCTTTAAATTTATACTTTAATTGTGAGCATTAAGTAGACCATTTTTTAAAAGAATTCCTTCCACTTTTTCCAATTTTATCGTGAAGATTTTATCTCAAATGAATCGGTCTTTAAATTTGTCAAAGATGCAAGAATATTAACCATAAAAGCAATTTTGCGTCAGTTATATCATGCAGTAGGAAAAAAACACAACAAATAAACTGTATATTGTCATATATTTGTAGTGGTAGTGTGTTTCAATACTTTCTTTTTGTATATTCTGTTCATTTGTAAATGGAAATGATCAGCATTTGTCAAATGTTAGAACATACCCACATTGCACAGAAAATGTAATTCTTATTGCATGCATTACAAATAGTTTTGCCTAATGCATATATATTAGACTATATAGGAATCATAAAAACATTTTGATTTGGCCCTTGTGGATGCTAAGTCAGCTCTTCGGTATAATCTAACTCTATTTCCACTTGTCTGTGATCTCCAATACCAGACCACACATTGGGAGTATAAGTGACTTGTGAAGTTGTGCATTATGTAGACTGCACATAACTCTAATAGCTTATGCAAGCTTGCTGCAATCTATTTGATTTATTATTTCTTTGTGGGATATTTCAGTTAATTAAAGTGCATACAATCCTGCATGGTAGGAGCATACAGAGACAATCTTACGGTGTACTTTAATAATAATAAAATACACCAGTACTTTAATGTACTGAGGCCAGCACTTTGATTTATGCTTTGATGTGGGCTTGGGTGCTTTGCCATTTTTGTGGAAAAGTTCTGCTATCTGACTTTTTGAGACATAAAAGAAAGCAAAATGGTTATAGAGACCTTCAAGCTTTTAAGCATGCCATTAATGTAACAACTTATATTTTTTTCTGATTATGTTGATGTATTTTCCAGGAGATAGAACTTACTCAGAAGAAAATTGAATGTGAGACCTTAGCAGAAGAAATCAAAAAAGAAAAACTCAGAAATAAGGAGCTGGTCAGTATATTATGGTCAGATAGTTTACAAACACAACATCTTTTTAAGGTCTGTACAATTTTTTTTGTGTACATTTTTGTCTCTCCCCACCCCTACTCAGAGTGTTTTTTAAAGGGGGTTGGGAGGGGGAGAGCTGTGAAGCTACAACAAAAATTGCGTATTTGTCCCAATTTTAAGAGTCAAAATACAGGTATATGGATTTACCTATGGAAATTATACTTAATATAGTAATTATGAATGTTAAAATTAATGTTTAAAATGTTGTTGTTTTTTTTTACCAGGAAAGTGATTTACAAGAGAGTGCGGCACAGAATACCCAGCTTACAGTACAAGTGTCAGATCTCCAACATAGACTGCAGGACTTGGAAAAGGTTAGTGGGAATTACACTTTGTCTCAGACATATCACAGACATTTGTAATTACATTAATGCAAAATGTAATAATGAAAAATGTACTGAAACAAATTGTAATATTGAAAATAATGGAATTTTGATAAAATACAGTCAAAATTACTGAGCATTATTGAGGAATGTGAGGAAATTAAATTTTCCTTGTTCCATTGATAGTGCTTGACCCCAAAGAGGGACAATAACAATTTACATTTTTCATTATTACAGTTATACAATGTGTATTGGTATACTGTCTGTGCTGTCAAAAGGAAATATATAGAATTTCAAAGCCATAATTGATCGCTATTTGTTAGACATATATAGGAAAATGCAGAATAGCAAAGCCCCCTTAATTTTTCCACAATTATTACAGTTATACAATGTGTACAATGTATTGCTATGTGAGAATTTCAAAGTATACACACATTGTTTGATTTAAAAAAAAAAAAAGAGAGAACATTGCAATTATGAACAAAGTAATGAAGGGTCAAGAAAGATAAAATTCATAGATACAAAAGCAAAAATATTTTTATGAATTTTCAATTACACAAAAAAATGCTTGAAAATGATATGGCATGTATCTTGTCTATTTTGATACAAGGCAACATGATGCTATGAAATATTGCCTTGTTAGACTTTACAGTTCATTTGACTGAAATAATTCATGCTCTGACACAAACATTGAACCCACAAATTAAAATGATTCCACAGTAAATTCTGTTTTGTAGAGAAAAAACTATCCTCAAAAATACTCACTTTTAATTAGTATGGGACATGGCATTTGTGTTATAAATCACTTTTTCATTTTCATATTTTTTTGCTTATACATAATAGCTATAAGAGGTGAAAGAGAGACAACTCTTATTGCTACTCAAAGCTCTTGCAATACGTTGTATTTCCATTAGTGAACTCTTCAGAATTAGAGGCGCGTTTGGTCGTCTGACAGGGACAGCATGGCGTTGCGGATAATACAAATCATGCCAGTCTCAATCCACTTTTAAATGTTAAGTGCATTTGACATTCTAACTAAAGAATAGAAGAACTAAAAGACATATGTAAGAGAGCGAAAACCCTAACTTTATCGTCCATTAATAAAAAAACACGACATTTCCGAGGTATGTACATGTATATTGTCTTTAAATGTACCATTACGATAAATAGATACATACGATCACTAATAGATGTCCTTGTCATCTCTATTCTAGATTTAAATTAAGTCCACAACAATAAAATATTTCATTTGCATTTTGTTTGGATTTGTTCATCGACTTTCAACAGGGTTGTTTACATGTTTATGTTACGTATGTCCCAGAAATCCCACGAGATTTGTACATACTCCGACTTTTTCACAAAAGAGCGCACTAAGAACTATAACTCTTCACTAGTGGAAATAGAACGTATTTGTGTGAAAAATCAAATGATCTATGTTGATGTAGCATTTTGTCACTCACAGTCTCATGTACAGACTTCCTAAGCAGCATGAAGAGACAAATAACAGAGGGGGGGGGGGGGTGTATTAATTTTCACATCTAGGGAGTTCATTGCTCAGCTCGGGGTTGTAGGTCTCTCTGATTGTTTGGCTGAAAGCTCAAGCAAAGTTGTATCTTCTATATTTCTCTAAGGAAAAAAATTAAATAAAGCTGGATTTAATATTAATTGATTTTTAAAGATGCAAATTCTGAAGTGGTCAAATGGAATTGCTCTAAAAGCCAGCACCAGTTGATGGAAGGAAGGATAATGAGTCAGAGACTGTAAAATAATGGTGCCAATTTTTCTCTTAACATTTCTAAGAAATGGACAGTGCATGGCTTTTTGAATTGGAGAAAAATACACATATAAGTCAAACCATTGAAAGCCAGTATCATTGCAAATAAGCTAAATAAGTTTTATCAAGCAATTAATATAGACAATTTGGTTTGATTTACATGTACTTAATTTTATCTTGCATATTTCATGTTTAGCTTAATTCCATCTCTTGAACATTTTGTGATTGTGATGAGAGGGTTACTTTTGCATGTTTAATAATCTTGATAAAGCAAGCAGTAAGAAAATTGCCACTTTGCTAGACCATGCACAGTGCATATGTGTGACTGCAAAACTTAATTGTTGCATTGCAAAAAGATTAAGGAGGAGCAGAAGTGTTTTTGTAGGCTAGACCGATTTGATGAAAGCACATTTCCAATTTGCTTAACAGACAGATGATGGACTATGTGACTGTAGGTAATTCACTTGAGGTGTCTGGCTCATGTTAGGTTGTCCTGATCTGTGGTTTATTGAGTCTGAATAAATGAGGATCCATTAATAGTCAAGTATCATGGGAAATCTCCCAGAATTCACACTTATGCACAGCCTTGTGGGAAATATATTTTTCAGTTGAAAATCTATCATGATTAGGACAATTTTTTTGTTACCATTTCATCAAATCTCCATAATCAGTTTACCAAAAAATAGAAATGTCTAAACTGAAGATAATATGAGGAACTAATTATTTATTGGAAAATGAACTACCTTCAGTTTTGATTTAGCATTATCTAAAGAAATGCTGTTTTCTCATTATTACTAAAATTATCAAGTAGTACGGATTATTATTGTAAATGTGGATTGTTTTTAAAAAAAAAAGCTCAAAAGATTTAATACCCACATTGAACAGGTACATTGAGATATGTGTTTACCTATCATTGATTGATTCTGTTTGGATTGGATAAGTTTGCCAGCTACGCGTGGACATTTAATGAATTATCAAATATTTCTTCCCTTATGATATAACTTATTAATTGTCTAATGCTACAGAGACTAGCAAATTTATATCAGAAATTCATGAAATCAATAGAATGAAGGGTTGGAAGTGATAGAACTAATTTTTGGTATGTCGGATTTATGGCAACCATTGAAGAAGGCCCACCAAGGGGAAACAACAGAAGTAGATTTTCATAGCATAAGTACTTGACCTTCAGTGACTTCAGTGTATATGCAAAGTTTTCAGAAAATCTGTATTGGTACTTTCAGGAGGCATCACATTTACAATAGTTTATATCAGTTAAATTTGCATAAGTGTTGCTGTAATACTTTAATTTACTTCAAGTTGGTAGTTTTTTAGTCACATAAGGTGACCAATAGTTGTCGGCTTTTGTTTGAACATTTTCACACTGGAATAATGAACCAATTTTAACCAACTTTGGCGTGTAACATCTATGTTTGAAGGGAAACAAAAATTATGAATTTCATGAGTGTTTTGTTATAAGTTAGGGTTTTTTTTTTTGTTTCTTATGAATTGAAAGTTAATTTGACTGTGCTTCCCTACACTTTTTTTTTTGTTTCTTTTAATTGACATGAAGTGCTTCCCTAGGTTTTTTTTTCCCCTACTATCTTGTTGTGGTCTCGTCATTTCTTACCAGTGTTCTGCTAATGATGCTGAGTGATGGTTTCTGAATTGCACAGTAGGGGCCATTACCAGTGTTGCGCTAATGATCTTGAATGATTGCTTTCTGAATTAGTCAGTAGGGGACACTTCCGGATTCTGTCCTAAGAAGAACATTGATTTTTGCTTTCTTTTCTTTTTTTAATTGAGGTCTTATTTAATGTGACTAGAATTGTTTATCAATGTCAAAGTCAATAATTGATGTGATTTTTTTGCATTTATCTTCTAGCTCAGGATTTGTAATGTTTAGATATCTGTTGATAGGAATTTTAATTTAGAATTAGAGATGCGATGGAGTGAAATTTTAAGAGATGCTGAAATCCCCACAAACTGATAGACAGTGATCCTTTACTAAAATAGTTTGGGAAAAATATTACTTGGCCAAAATTATTGCAAGTAAAATAGAAAAAAACATATTTCTCTGCAAGCAACATAAGCCCAAATAAAATTACAAGTCAAGATAATCCCACTATAATAAATTGAAAGTGACTTCCCTGCATAGCATACACCTAATTTTTTTTAATTTGTGGGTGTGGGTTGGGGAGGGGGTTCAGGGGCCAATAGTGAAAAAAAAAATCTTTTTATTTGCCATTGATGGAAAGTAGTAGAAGTGAAATAGCTTAATGAGTGCATACATCACATCAATTTTTTATTACTTGTATCACCTAACGAGATGCTGATGTTGATATTTTAATGAGCAACTGTCAGACGAAACAAACAGGAAAATGATGTCTTTTTACAGTGCAGCAGCAAAATGTATGGTTGCATTAGCGAGGGTTTCCAACAATGCTTAATTATGGATGAAACCAATTTTTTCGTTGAAGGTTATACATGTCTGACTTGCAATGCCACAATGGCATAATGGCGGCTATTAGTCATTAGAAAATTTCGTAGAAGGGAAAACGTGTAGCTTTGGTGTCGTGTACCTGTAATTGGAATTTTACGGGACAGTTGCGGAAATGGTGATCAAACATGACAACAAAATGATTTGATTGGCCATATGTATAGTTGATTCTTAAATAGATTTGACTTGTATTGAAGAAATTTGTCTGGACCCACTTTTCAAAATCCAAGGTTGCATGATTTTGTATTGATCATTCAGAAACTCAAGTAAAAGGTGACTTAATTTTTAATCATACTTGAAAAATAGCTGAATCTGTAGAAAAAAGATAAGATTTTAAAAGCAGCTCTCAAAGGCAGCTGTCAAGCGTGAATTGTTGATAATTTTGATGATGTCAGCAGATTATAGTCCAGACAGACTGAACTTGATTAAATTACTGACATGAGGAGCAGTGAATGCATATTACATAGCTTTACATATAAGATAAGACTTGTTAATGCACAAGAAGTTTCCACAGGAAATCATTATTCAGTCAAGTACAGTCAAACCTCTTTAATATGTAGAAATTGATGAGAAAATAGAAAAAAAAAATTGAGATATTTGAGGATTCAGTATATCGAGGATAAAATTCTGAAAGAATAAGTAGCTGGGACTTCCAATTTACTTTGACATAGGTTTTCCTTGTGAATTTTGGAGTGAAAAATTTTAATATTAAATATAAGT